AGGAGGCGGCCCCGGCACGGAATGCCTTCAGCATCTGGGCCGGCCTTTGACGGCCTGCTCCCACGCGCGAGCTGCACCGCCCTCCTGGGCGGAGGTGGGCCGCCAGTCGCTCGTGCGAGCCGGAATTCCCAGGGGCGGTCTTCGTGTCCCCCGGGAGCGCCCCGGGAGCGCCCCGAGGGACGACAGGGGAGCTCCAGGAGGTTAATTCGAGTCGGCGTCCACGGGTGGCAGGTTCCACGGTGTCCTGCGTACACTCCCAAAAAGGCTTCAAGATGCCTCCAAATGGTCAAGTACTGCTCCAAAGATCCCCAAGAGGCCAAGATCCTAAACGCTTCGCGTGACCCCCACTAGTCCATCCCGAAACGATGCCCAGGCGAGTTGCCCTGATAGCATGCAACGGAATGAGAGGCTGGGCAGCCGTCATAACCCAAGACGGGGAGGATGGAGGAGGAGGAGTCGGAGGAGGGGGATGGCGAGAAGGGAGGAGGGAGGACGTGGATCAGGCGGACGAAGAGGAGGAGGAGGAGGAGGAGAAGGAGGAGGGCGAGCACAATGGCCAGAAGCCTTCTGGATGCCTCTCGGAGTCTCGTCGGATGCCTCTTGAGAATTTGTTGGAGTCCTCTTGGGGCGTCTTGAGGGCCTCCGGCAATCCTGCGGGCCTCTTGGAGCGTCTTGGGAGCATCTTGGGACCTCTTGGGGGTCTCTTGGGGGCCTTATGAAGACATCCTGGGGGCCTCTTGGCTGCCTGGGCGCCTCATGGGCCCTCTTGGTGCCCTTTTGGGAGCCTCGGGGCCATCATGGGGCCGCCTAGGAGGAGATCGATCAAAGAAGGGGAGGGGACTCAATTAGCATTGTCCCCAAGGAGGCCCAAATCTGTCAAAACCTGTGTAAAATCAATGATGCTTGTTTTCTAGCCGATGCCGTCTCGGACACTCCAACTACCCGCGGCGGGCCCCGTCCAGGTCCAGGGGTAGGGGGTAGGGGGAGGGGTCACTTGTTGCGCGCCGTTTCGCTCACTCCCACCCGCCCTTCCTTCTAACACGGATAAACAAACACACGGGCCTCGGCATGTTCAGCGGTCGTCTCTAGATGGGCAGCTACTGAGAACCAAAACAGGCCCCACTCTCGACACTTTGCGAGGTGCGCCACGCGTGCTAGGCGCGCCAGGTGCGCCAGGAGCCCCTGGGGCCCAAGCGTACCAGGCACGCCTGGTGCGCCAGATGCGCCATGTGTGCCGCATGCTCCAGCCGCGCCAGGTGCGCCATCTTCGGGGCACGCGTGGAGTGTGCTAGGTGCGCCCGCGCACGTGACAGCACACACGGGAAAACATGTCGTCCCCCACCATCCATGTCGAAAAGCAAAGCGCAATCGCGGCGGGGTGGCCATCAGGGTGCCAGCACCCCCCGCAATCCTTGTCAAAAACCATGGACACTGATCGCGGGGTGGCCGCGCAGATTTAGCCGCGAAGTGCACTTTGTATTGTGTTTCGACAAGAAGAATGGTCGCCCTGCGTGCAGCAGGCAATATACTGGCATCCCCGCCGCCCCTGTCAAGAATTACCCTGTGACGCACCCAACCTGCTTTCATCAAGTGACAAGAGGAGTTGGTCAAAACTTATCAGGACAATGACAATGCAGGCGCCGTTATATGTTGTGCAAGCTACATGGGATGCGCTCACGCGGGGGGGGCCTTGGACAGCATCACGTAGAAACGCAGCCAGACGTCACCCATTCTCTTCTTATCTTCGCACCCGGCGCCGACAATGACACCGCGATGCCGCGGCCCTGGCAGGCCGTGGACGCCAGGTTTTCGGCATGGGAGATGGCCAGGCCGGTGGACCCCAGGGGTGGCGAGGTCTCCTGGTGGTCCGCGTAAGACGTCAGTCCGTTGGACCCCCCAGAAGCCTTCGAAAGTTGCGGCGACAGTTTCGCAGATCGCGGCCCCCCCAGGGATGGCTATGTCTCCTGGTGGTCCGCGTGAGACGTCACTCCGCTGGACCCCCCAAGAGCTTTCGAAAGTGGCAGAACTTTCGCGCATCGCAGCCCCCCATGGATGGCTATGTCTCCTGGTGGTCCACGTAAGAGACGCCATTCCGGTGGACCCCCAGGAGCCGTCGAAAGTTGCGTCAGCCTAGCAGATTGCAGCCCCCAAGGATGGCGAAGTCTCCTGGTGGCCCGCGTAAGACGTCACTCCGCTGAACCCCCCAGGAGCCCTCGAAAGTGGCGACAGTTTCGCAGATCGCAGCCCCCCAAGGGATGGCGATGTCTCCTCGTGGTCCGCGTAAGACGTCACTCCGCTGGACCCTCCAGGAGCCTTCGAAACTGGCGACATTCTCGAAGATCGCAGCCCCCCAGAACAGAAGGGCCATGCAGGAGGCAAGGTGACACGCATGCAGGAGCGAGGTGAGAGGCAGGAGAGAAGAGGAGAGTAGGAGGGAGGCTGGAGGCGGATACGCGCGCGCATTTTTATTCAAAACGAGCACCCAACGCAGGAGGGTGAGGAACAATACACAGTGCTCGCGATACCCACGAGGTGTGGGGGGGGAGGGCCCTCATGGGGTCCGCATGGGCACGGGTTGGTCGCCAGTCGCCTGCGGGAGCGGGTTTTGTATATATATATATATATATATATATATATATACATATACATATATATACACACAATACTGCATTGGCGCTTCGCACCATGAACCTTGGTCCTTGAAGTTTGGTGTGCAGGCGGAGTAGCAGGAAGGTCAAGCCGACAATTTAGCTATAACTCTTTGTTGCCTTTTCGGGCATCGCCTCTATAATAATGTTATTCGTTATCCATCCTCCATGCTTTTTTTTCTCCATTTTCGCCATACCCTGCGCATTCTCCCCATTCTCCGCAGCTTTTTTTTGCGGAGGCTCCTCCTTGGAGAGCCTCTGGGGGCCTCACAAAAATTGTTTCAGGCCTTCTTAAGGCCTCCTGGGCGTATTCTGGGGGCCTCTGGGGGCTTCCTCGGGCCACCCTGCCTCCAACCGCGGTCTCCCTGAACGACCGGGTCACGATTTGGATTGCTTCGGAGGGTGTCTTGGGGCCATCTTGGGCCGCCATGGGGCTCTCTGAGGGCCATCTTGGACCCGTGTTGTGCCGTTTTGGGGCTCTCTTGGACTGCCCGGAAGCCCTTTCGGATGGTTGTGGGGCGATTTGGGAGCCTCCCAGGCGGTTTCGGACGCTCAGAAGACCGCCGTCTTAGAGCGTCGGGCGGCCGAAAAGAGGAGAACCCCAAAATTCACCAAAAACCAACGGAAAATCAATGATGTTTGCCATTTTTGCCTCTTGGGGCCTTCTTGGGAGTGCTCTTGGAGGCCTCTTTGGGACCGTCCTGGAGGCCTCTTGGGCCATCTGGAGGTCACGTCGGTCACTCTTGGAGCGCTCTTGTGCTGTCTTGGGGGTCCCGTGGACGTCTCCGATGGCCCCCCTGATCGCCTTAGGTGTGCTGGGAAGGCTTGGCAGAACGCCCTGCGAGGCCCGGGGGGCGGCTTCGAGGCCCGTCCAGAGGGTCTCAAAGCCCCAGATCCCGGGAGTCTGGTTTTGGAGGGGGGGGACCCTTTCGCGTTCCGCCCGGATTGTGAAAGTATATAAAAGGGAATGTATATATATATATATATATACACACATCTATATATACAAGTGGCACGTGTGTGCCCAGGCTCATACAACAAGCTGAAGGGGCGTTTGAAGCAGGAGTGACATGCAACAGCGAAGTCGCACTCGAGCGCAAGTGGGGTTGCCACACCTTGCGATGTGTGTACCAGGGCCCCCCAGGAAGCCTCAGGAGGCCCGACTTGGATACCAGAAGAGGCTCCAGGAGGCCCCAGGATTGTGAGTGTTGTGTGTGTGATGTGTGCTTTGTGTGGTGCGTGCTTTTTGTGTGTTGTCGGTGTTGTGTGTGTATGTTATGTTTGTCTAGCGTGTGATGTGTTGGGCGTGATTTGTGTCTCTGTGTGTGCATGTAGTTCTGAAGCCCCAGGAGGCCCCAGGAGGCCCCAGGCGGCCTCAGCAGGCCCAGGAGAACTCCAGGAGGCTCCGAGGCGGGGTCTGGGGTACCAGAAGGTCCAGAAAGCCCCAGGAGGCCCCAGGAGGTTCCAGGAGGCCCCCAGGAGGCTCCGAGGAGGGGTCTGGGGCTCGATTTTGGGAGGATGTCTCAGGCGAAACCGCCATTCTCTGAGAATCGGGGTCAAAATTATTGAAATTACCATGTGTTTTTGAAGGTTTTATGTTAAAATGTTGAAATTCCCATGTGTTTTTGGACCTCTCCTTCACGATCTGCGTGAGGGGTGCCACCGATTTTCAGAATTTCGAGGATGTCCCGAGCGAAACGGCCAGAAAAATCAAAGACGGACGCACGCACGGACGCATTAATCCCCTCTGAGCTCTACTCCCTCGGAGAGGTGCGTATGAGAATATATATATATATATATACACATACATATTCAGGAGCAATGATTACCCTGTCCACGAAATTGGCAAGAAGTTGGAAGAGGAAATTCGCTAAACCACTTACCCCCAGGGGGCTGGTGGGATTTTTTTTGCGTAGTATGATTCCTAGGTGTTTGCTTTATGGCCTTACAGTCTCCCGACCGCCCAATACGGCCCAGAGATTGCCACAATTTATCCCAAGAAGCCCCCAGGATTGCCACGAGACGGCCCACGAGGGCCCCAAGACGGCCCTAGAGGTTCCCAAAAGCTTCCAAAACCCCAAAGACGCTAGGTGATCGAGGTAGCCGTCGCTTGGGGAAGCCCCTCTGCTATTTTACGAGAAGCCGCTGCGCAGTAAAGAGAGCAAGCGATCGCTGCTACAAAGGACGGGGGCAGGCAAATCCACGCCGTCGGATTCCGCGGATTTTGCGCGCCGGCGCTGGCCTACGTGCTGCTGCGCTCGATTTCGAGTGTGTCTTCTGTTTTTGCGCCGATGGCGGCGTGCAAAACATCCAGGATTCACGGAGGGCTGGAAGCGGGGAGGGCAGCCGCAGGTGCATTTCGAGAGGGACGTCTGGGACGTTGAGGAGACCCAGATTCTGCTTGAGTACCCTGGGCTCAGGAGCTCGCTGTGGGTGCTCTGCTACATCCTCTGCATCCTCCTCCGCCCTCATGCTCCCTTCCTCCCTCCTTTTGCGCGGGCGCAGCGCACGGCTTCTCTCGTAGACGAGATGGAGGAAAAATTCGGCGCGCCAGTTGCGAGGTGAGCAAGCACAGCGTGAGGACGCGTGGATCGGGTGCTTGATGCCTTCGCCGTCGTCTCTGATGGCGCCCTCGTCAAAAAGTTGGGCACTCGTGTTGGAGGGTTGGGACTTGTACGTAGCCTGGGGCCTGCAGGAGCCCTGTAGTCTACGAGGTTCGCTCTGGACCCCAGGGTGTTCGCTTCCTGGGCCGTTTGGGGCTCATCCTAAGAGGTTTGCGGCTTCCAGGACTTACCTCGAGAGTATGCTTCGTTCGGGAGTTTGGAATTGCGCGTTCCCGTCCGCTTCCAGAAAAAAATACTGCGTCGCCCAATCTCTTCCGACCCGTTTCGCAAGGCCGACGCGACGCGAGCGACAGTGCAGAGCCGTTCGAGAACTTCAACGTGTCAGACATATAATCGTTCTGGAAGCGGACGAGCACGGGATGGTGATCGTTTTCTGAATCGTGGTTTTACCGATCGGCGCGGGCCTTCGCACCCCCCCCTTCCAACGGAGTAGATCTTGGCTCTTTTGGGCGCCTGTTTCAAGCAGGTGGACGGCTCCCCATAGGATCCCCATGTGAGCATTGTTCCAAACATTCGCACTAAGCAGAGGTCCAGAGCCAGACACCCCCTTCCCCCCCTTCCGCCCAATGTCGAAACGCCGAATAAGAAAACGTTTACATGGTGGACTCACGAGCTGGTGAGCCGATTGGTTGGTGAGCTCGTGGGCCGCTGCATAGGAGGCGGACGGGCTGATGCATTCACGGGCCAGTGCTCTGGCGGACTGATGGGTTGCGACATTGGAGGGAGCGCGAGCATTTACGGGCCAGTGCGCTGGTTGACCCACGGGTTGTAACATGAGAGGGAGCGTGATCCACAATCGTTGGCCGGCCTGAAACAAGTGCACACGGGGGGGGTCAAAAACCAGGGTACTGTAGCTTCGTGTCGTGTCGACCGGCGGCGACCCCGCCAGCGGCGTTCAACTTTGAACGCCGCGGGCGACCCAGAATCGTTCGATGTGGAACGATTTGGACGTTTCGGGAACGGCCGATCGTTTAAGGTTGAACGATCCCCGCGGTGTCAGAAACCAACGCCGGAGTCGGCACGACACGAACCCGACGTATTCCCCCCTCCTCCCCCCTTGAGAAAATCCTGCGGGGGCTCAGAAGCCAGGAGGCCCCCCCTCCCCCCCAGACCTCTCCCCCCCCCAAAAAAACGCCCATCCCCCCCCCCCCGCAAAGAGCCGGGAGGTCCGCCCCTCCCCCCCCCTCCCCGGAAAACTACTCGGACGGGGCCAAACTCTCCCTCCCCAGAAAACTAGCTGGAGAGGTCCAGCACCCCCCCCAAACATTGTTGGAAAATGACTCGACGGGTCCAGAGTCCCCTCCCCCCCCCCGCCGCCCGCAGAATTAGTTGGAGGGGTCCCCCCAGGGGCTGGGAAACTGTTCGAGGGGTCCGGAGCCGCCCCCTCCCCCCGGGGCAACGACGACGACGGCGACGCCCGCGGCCGCAGGCAAACGACGCCCGCGACGACGACGACGACGCCGCCCCCGCCCGCAAACGACGCGGAAGTCGACGACAACGACGACGACGACGACGACGACGACGACGACGACGACGACGACGGCGACGGCGACGGCGACGGCGACGGCGACGGCGACGGCGACGGCGACGGCGACGGCGACGGCGACGGCGACGGCGACGGCGACGGCGACGGCGACGGGGACGGGGACGGCGACGGCGACGGCGACGGCGACGGCGACGGCGACGGCGACGACACGACGACGACGGCGACGGCGACGGCGACGGCGACGGCGACGGCGACGGCGACGGCGACGGCGACGGCGACGGCGACGGCGACGGCGACGGCGACGGCGACGGCGACGGCGACGGCGACGGCGACGGCGACGACGACGACGACGACGACGACGACGACGACGCGGCGGCGACGATGGACGGACGGACGGACGGACGGACGGACGGACGGACGACAGACGGACGACGGACGACGGACGACGGACGACGGACGACGACGACGACGACGACGCGGACGGACGGACGGACGGACGACGGCGACGACCCGCCGCCGTAACTTGTTTTTTGGAAACGCCCATGTGGCCACACGTTGGTCCAAAGTTTGGCCACGCTATTGGACTACGTGATCCCCCAGTCGTTGTGGGATCCCTTGGGTGAACACGTGGGAGAGAGAGAAAGGAGGATGAGAGGGAGGAGAAGGAGGACGAGAAGGATGAGGAGGAGAAGGTGGAAAAGGAGGCCTCTTGAGGCCGTCTTGTGGCTTCCTGGAGCTTGCTGGGAGCTTCCTCTTCGGGGCATCCAAGGGCCTCTCTAAGGTATCTCTTGCCCTTCGGAGGCCGTCTTGGGGCCCTCTCTGGGCAGTCATTGGATTTTCTTTGGACGCCGAGGCCTCTTGGGTAGTTGTCGGACGATCTTGGGGGCCATTGGGCAGACCTGGGGCATCGAAAGTTCGAGCCGGCGAGAACGCTAACATCTCTGCAAAACATGAGGAAGTAACATTATTTTCGGGGGCATCCTGGAAGTCCTCTTGGAGACCTCTTTGAGATGTCTTGGAGGCCTCGTTGGCCGTCGAGAGGGGGTCCAGGGCTGTCTGGGGGCCATCTTGGCCTCCTTCGAGGCTTAATTGGCACCGTCGTGGAGGCCATGCCGGATCATCTTGGCCGTCTTGGAGGCCATCTTGACTAGGGGAACGAAGAACGACATGAACATAAAAACTCAGAGGTCCGCGCGGATTTCTTGGATCGGCGCTGGACCCCCCTCCCTGGCGCGCGGAGCGCGCCAGGGGCGGCGCCGGAGGCGCCGCCAGGGGGGTCCAGCGCGGATCCGAGAAGCCCGCGCGGACCTCCAAGTTTTTGTGTTTGTGTCATGATTCGTTCTTCTATTTGAGGCCATGTTTGGCCATCCTGGCAATCTCGGAGGCGATTCTACGTCTTACCGACCAGGTTTCCCGGAAGTGGCCGGCGGGATCGGCCGAGACGGCATCGGAAACTTGTTCGAAGGGCCCAAACAACCCAACATCCAGCACGCTGCGCACCTCTTCACAAGTCAACGGGGGGCCGCGGATCAAAGACGCTTACGGCGAATCACCGCCGCCCCCCGCCTTTTGGAAACGCCCATGTGTGGCCGGACGTTGCGGCCAGTGCTCAGCCAAGCTATCGGACTACGTGTTCCCCAAGCCGTTGTGGAAACCCTTCGCAGAACACGTGATGGAGAAAGAAGAAGAGGAGGAGAGGGAGGAAAAAGAGGGAGGACGAGGAGGCCTCTTGGGGGCCTCTTGGGGGGCTTCGGAGGCTCCTTAGGAGGCTCTTTGGCCGTCTGAGAGCGTTCCTGGCCCGTCTGACGCCGTCGGAAGCCGTCTTGCGGGCCTCTCTGAGCCGACTTGGGGCCATCTTGGGGCGATTCAGGGCCATTGGAGACAATATTGGACGTTTCGGAGGTCTCCTGGGCCGTCTTGGGGCCCTCTGGGGCCGTCAGGGGGCCATCTCGAAGGCTTTGGGGGCGCTCTTGGGGCCATCTTGGTGGCCTCTGGGGTCGGCTTAGGTTGTCGGGAAGCCGAAAATTAGCAAACGCCAGACTCCGCCCAAAACCCAGGCATGGATGGGGCATGGATGGAAGTCCTCTGGTAGGCCTCGTAGGCCGTCTTGAAGGCCTCTTGGGCCGTCGTGGGCGATCTTGATGCCATCTTGGGGGCATCTCGGCCCGTCTTGGAGCCACATCGGGGCCGTATTGGAGGCCATCTTGGACCATGTTGGCCGTTTTCGAGGGAGCTTGGAGGCCATCTTGGCAGTCTTGAGGGCGACTTGTGCAACGGTATACGCAATTGGGGGCGTCTGGCACGCCGTGCACCTCTATCGCAAGCCACAGGGAGTGGCGGATCGAAGATGCCTACGGCAAATCACCGCCGCCCCCTGCCTTTTGGGGAAGAGCCTTTGTGGCCAAAACGTTTGGTGAGAGCCTGGATGTATTCCCCCAGCCGCCCTGAAAACTCTTCAGGGGGCACTTGGGGGAGGATGATGGGCGGGATCAGAAGAGGGAGGAGGGAGGAGGAGGAGGTGGTTGAGGAGGAGGAGGAGGAGGAGGAGGAGGAGGAGGAAATGAGGCCCCTTGGGAGCCTCGTAGGTTTTAGGGTCTCCTGGGAGCTTCCTCGGAGCCTCATTAGGGCAGTTGGGGGCTGCTTGGGCGGCCTCGTTGACCCTCTTGGGGCGTTCCTGGCCCGTTGGAAGCCGTCCTGGTGGCCTGTCTGGGCCGACTTGGGGCCCTCTTGGGGCGCTTCAGGGCCCCATCTTGGAGGCAATATTGGGCGTTTCGGAGGTCGCCTTGGCCGTCTTAGGGGCATCTTGGGTAATCTCGGAGGCCTCTTGGGCGATCTTGGGGCCCTATTGGGCCGTCAGAAGACCGAAAATGAGGGAACGCCAAAAACCTTCAACAACCTATCGAAGATCAATGATTTGACCTCTTCGAGAGCCGTCCTGGAGCACCGCTTGGAGGCCTCTTTGGGTCGTTTCAAGGCCTCTCAGGGGGGCGACCTCTTAGGCGGTCTCGGTTCATCTTCGGGCCACCTTGGGCCATCTTGAGTGCATATAGGCCGTCTTGAAACGTATTGCAGCCATATTTGGCTCTCTTGGGGACATGTTGGCCGCCTGGGAGAACTTCTTGAGAATCTTGGAGACCAGCTTGGAGCCGTCTTGGAAGGAAAGAAGCACGCTCTGGGTAGTTTCGGCAGCTTTCGGTTGCTTGCCGGGTGGCCGGCGCGTTGGGCCGAAGACTCTTGGGAAGTTGTGAGAAAGGACCACATCTTACCGGAACGTTGAGTACGCCATGCAACCATGTGGCAAGCCACAGGG